ACAATCCACTTCGCACAAATAGTTTTTAAAATGCATTCACTGACTTGGCAAACATTAATGATTTGATTCGAGATTTGCACACAAAGACTCAGAAAAAGTGAAATAAAATGATTGCTGTTTAAATGGCATGTGTTTATCCTGTTTTGTCAGGTGACAGAACCTAAACAACTGTGCTGTGTATCAGACAGTGATGGAGAGAAGGGGTCACAGGTGATGTTGAACGATGACTTGATATTATTATACCTAGTTGTCCTGAGATTTTCATAGGTCCCCACCAATGTCCAGCAAATCTACGCCCTTGAGCTGCACTTATGACTAATCAAATCCTTGACAGCTGTATGTTATAAAATGCTCTTTTTGGTTCACTTCACATCGCTTTGGATAGAAGTGTCTGCTAAATAAAATAAATGCAAATGTCTGATTAGCATAGCAGGTAACCAAAACTACTTCTGTTTAGGACTACAGGTATTGTATTTAAGATTTCAAAATTTAGGCAAGGTAAAAAATACATTATGTCTGAATGATGTTGGACCTTTTTTGATGACGATGTGGTAAGTGCTAAGGATAAATATTTATGTGGTTTGTTGCAGGCAAGCCCATAATAGCAGAAGGGAAACAGTAAAACCCACACAACATTAAGTTAATGGAATCTTGTGCAACTGTGAAAAATCTTGAATACAGAATAATAATGGAATTGTGGGATTGCAGTAAATAACCTGCAAAATCTGGTACACAGCCAAATCTGATGGATTTTTGAGAATCACAGTTGAAATATTACCTAAGCTGGCATTAGCTTAATACTGAAAGTAACAGTGTGTAACAAAATGAGTAATTTTATCTCAGGCTCTTTCATTCTGAAATGAATTTCTCGTAAATGAAGCCAAGCAGTAACTGAATTACTCCCATTGTCTGAATGCTTAGTAAAATATAGCATAAGGGCTGTGGCTTTGATTCCTGTCCCAGCTCTATCTGTGTGTGTGGGGTTTGCATGTTCTCTCCATGTTCATGTGGGCTTCCTACACAGACCTGTGATATACACTGCTCAAAAAAATTAAAGGAACACTTTGGAAACTTTTGTTAAAAAGATGCCACATCGTTTGATGGAAATGAAAATAATCAACCTACAGAGGGCTGAATTCAAAGACACCCCGAAAATCTAAGTGTAAAATGATGCAGCAGGCTAGTCCTGTCACGCCCTGCTCCGTCCGCTCCCGATGTGTGCCACGCCCCCTCATTATCCACGTGTGCTTCCCCGATTGTGCCCAGCTGTTTCCTGTTTCTTTTGGCTTGTCTTCTGTATTTAGTCCGCGTCTGAGTACGTTACCCCAGATCCATCATTGATGTTTGTTGGTTTCTCTGTCTTGTTT